CGGAAATCCTTGCTAGCACCATATACACATATGATGTCATCTACAAATCGCTTGCGGAAAGTGAACCCTCATTCGGTTTTTGAAAGCGTTCCTTTTTCGAATTCATCCTTGAACATACCTGTTACCGGTGTTCCTAGTGCAAACTCATGGATATTCCACCTTTGTGCCTTTATGTTGCAGCATAAAGTTTAAGTTGTATATTCTGTGCGTAGAAACAGAAGCCACTTGAGCTGATCTGTAGGTGGTCCAATGGTTTTCCCGGAATTATCTTTATAATTTCCGATGAACTCGTTGGTCTCTGGATAGGTGTATTGGTAACGTTTAGGGTGATATTCATAGGGAGCATTTGCTTGTTGGCTACGTTGATGAGTGTGATGCGTTTGATAAAGTAATCTATGAAGTAGTCTAGTGCACCCAACGTGTCGATTTCTCTTCCTCATTGGATTAGGCCGATCGGCAAACCACTTAATTACGACGTGTTGCAGAGGGTTATCCCAAATGGGACTCGAAAATACACGGTCCTTACCTATCTTGTATAACCCGTATGTTTGAGGTATCGCGGTTCCAATGTATCTGATTGTTTGACTGCTGGATGAATTGATTATTTCATCTCTTTTGTTATAGTTGTTTGATCAATTTTGATCATTATATCGTTTTTTTCAACGTGCGGTTACCATTGCACCCCTCCAGAGTAGTTCGTTCGCCCTAGTGCGACTCTTGCGCCCTTCTCATGATTTATCATCGTAATATTGTTGTTGCTTTCAGACGTTGAAGCCTCTCAATATGCTTCAATTCTAGAATCCGTTTAGGTGTTTCCATCGAAGTAGTACTCCAGTATGAAGCTTGCATCCCGTGTTCCCAGTTCTGTGTTCGTCTTCTTTTCTGTCATTCGGTACACCAGCTAAAGGAAAGATTAGTGGAAACTGTTTCCGACTCCAATGTGGTTCAGCTGTGTTATGGTGTCATGCGTTAAAACAAAGAGAGAGGGAGAGAGAACTGGTTTTGACACTCCAGTGCGAATGGAAACTATCTTTTCCTGAAAATGTCGAGTAGGGTTTTGAAGAGCTATTTAGATGGTAAATCTACCATCTCCGATGGACGGTTATTCCAATCAGGCATAATTATATATTTGAAGAAAAGCTTTCCACTGCGTTCCGGTAAATACTAGAATCCGAGAAGCGTAAAGAACTGGTCAGTTAGACCTGACGAGAAAAGGTTACATAGAATAAAGAGATCCCTCCTGGTACGTTGTTTATATAAGAGATACATATTTATCTCATTCAGCAGAGCACGATAAAGGGGGTTCGAATAGCTATGCACTAGTTTTTCGACCTTTCATTCCACAAGCTGTAAGGAATCGCGGTCCCGAACAAGACCAGAATATAAAACAAAACAAAAATGAAAATATAATATATTCTAGAAGGGAGGTATAAGTTTCATAAGTTCCATAAAAAAGATAGTTCATCTATGGTTATATGCAAATTTGCTGCCATTCTGCTGACGTAACGAGAGTGAAAGAATACCGGGAACCGAAGATTATGTTCTGATCTGCTCACTGAAGCCCGGTAGCTTTTTTGTTGCATACAGTGATGGCATCCACGCACACAACAATTTTATATAGAGAAATTTGTGCATCAGAAACAGTCATCCACCTATAATCTGGTGACTCACGCTCCGCTCACATACGCTCTCATTCATTCATTAAATCAAGCACTCACAATCACAGAAACAATCACCGCGCTTATCACTTATCACAACTGCATCTTGTTAGTCTTTCTCAACTTCGTCTCATCTCACCATCTGTTTTGCCCATAATAAAATGTGTTGTATCCTCACTAGGCTGAGGGATAACGGATTTTGAACTGCGGTCAGACTACTTGATTGCAACCATTTCCGAAGATACTGGTGGTTGATGCTTCCTGATTGTTTTTCATATCACCCACTCTCTCTTGCCGCAATTCGCAATCATATGTGAGGACGGGCTGAACGGCGGCTCGATAAACACTCAGCTTTGTGAAACCGCTCTGTGATAATCCTAGCCTACGGGATGACCCAAACCACGGAGCGACGCGTGTCTCGACAACTGTGATAAGTCAAACCTCCCAAATGACACCAATAAAGCACCTACTCGTGACAACTTCTGGACAACGAGCCACAAGCCGATTGTGCCCACGAATCAGAAACCGTGTGGCTCAGACAGAAGCTGTACGACATAAAATAATACGAGCACGCGATTAGTGGACGCTTGGATAAACAACAAACTACTTTTATACATGTTATTTAACCCAATTGATTTCTTCCAATAAACGAACTGCTATTTCTGTGCATTTTTCCTTGCTTCTCGGTTACGTGGGATACCATTGTGCAAGTGTCAGTGTGATTCACTGTTTTCGTGGCCTGATTCGTAATCCGTGATCTGTGCGTACTTCAACTATAACGAACTTTTCTCTGGGCAGCCACAGCGGTTTGCAAATTTGCAGAAATACCGTTCTTGCGCAATCAATATTAAGCTTGACTTTTTCTCTTGCTTATCCGTTTCTTTAGATCCTAAAAACCCGGAATTAACGCACCTGTTCTTATATTTGACTGTTAATGCGGATGGTGCGTGAAAAATCTGGGAAGTTTTGAAGAGCTATCTTTTAGTAGCGTTTACCTCCAAACTAACGGTCTTGGTTTCACAGTCAATACCTTCAAGTTCAGGTTGTATACTGCCAAATCCTTGCTTAAATGACACCTTTTTCAGGAAATTTGAGGCTGGCGATCCATTCCTCGAGGCTAAAATTGAGTCCTGTTAGACGCTAATACCATTACTAAACACCAAATTCATGATGTAGCTCAGTAGGATTGGTGGCGGAAAATCCATAGAGAAATATACGGGAACTTCGGTTATCATTCCTCATGGGTGAGGATTGGCACTCGGGTTGCACAGTAATATGAGCTAATTTACCTTGAGTATTTCTCGGGTACCCCGTCTTTAACTGACATGCCCCAGAGTGACCGTCTGTTGACGGAGTCAAAGGCCAAAGTCAACGAAGTCGGTCATCGTCGGTAGTGTAAATGCGCGATGGACAGCAATCAAATAAATGATCATAGAAACTGTCTTTAAAAAACTGAAGGAAACACCAACACAAAAGCGGATAATTAAAGAAACTGCCCGTCGAGTAAAAGCCACGGATGTCAGTCCCCATAACTCACCACATTTGCGCAACATTCGCCGTAAAGCTACATGCTCAGCACAGAATGAGCACAAACGATGTTGGTCTCAATTAGTAATGAGAATGTAAATAGCAAGAACCATTGGAGAAAATGGGAGAGTGTACTGGGTAAGTGCAACTGCTACCTTCTCCGCGCGACCGAAGCGGTCACTTCTTATCGGGAAATGAATTAGTTTCACACTGCATTCAGCTCCGCCTCACAATGAACCACACGTTAGCAAGCAATGTGAACTTGACCTAAACTCCAATAACAAATCGAAAATCGACACAGTCATCTTGGTGATGAAAAGCAACAAAGACGGCCTCCCATCTGTAAATTCCATTGAAATCTTTGACCACACTAATTTATCTTATCCGGAACACCGAAATCTTTAGCCAGAACTGGATGATATTCCTTCTACTTCATATACCAAAAAGCACAACAAATCAGGTTACACAAACTATAGGGGTATCAGCTTCATTGATATTGCCTCCAAGGATTTTACACCCATTCTGATTGTCTGAGTTCTGACTAAACTTGACCGAAGAACTTGTCAAGCCAGTGTGGTTTTCCGAGGAGGTGTAAGTTATTGCAACCAGAAAATAACGCTATAATCAATCCCGAAACATCACAATAAATTTGTGCGTGCAAAGAACGAAATCCTACAGATTTGAAGTTTTTCTTTGAAGCTGTTTCGTAGCTGCGATTGTGATTGTAAAATAACCAGTGAGGGTTTGAAGTCCAGCCAGGGACACAGAAAATTGCACAGGTTGTTGAATAGTCCTCATAAGTACCAAACATTGTACGTTGCAGTTCGTCGGCCAAACACAAAAACACAAAAGTGTGTAAGAAATAAAATCCACTTGAATTGGCTTGTTAGTTGTTGGTTCTATCAATTCTCCTCTTGCAATTCACTGGTGGCTTTCGAAAGTTGAAAATATTCCCGATGTTACAAATCCGAACTTTGGTCGGTTGACTTCAGGGAGAAAAATCCAACTATTTCGAAGTAACAACTCATGCATCACCATTTGGCCTCATTTTTATCTTCCTCGTTCGCTAGGCATCTTCTCCGATTGACCAAAAGCTAGCTTCAATTGATAAAATAAATTGCTATAGAAATTGAGCATGAGAGCAGCCTGTAGTTGACAAGCCAATTAATCGATTTGTCCCATTAGGCGATCTTGTCGGATAACGGCACTGGATGTGGCCAATTAAGACCAGTTAGAGCGGATGAACCGAACTAAGTCGAACTGGATTCTAGTGGTACAATCCCCGTAACCCGTTCTCTTGTTTGGTGAGGCAGACATGCGATTGCGGGGCACCGCCCACCGCCTTTTCAAATAGTTCTCTCCTCAGCGACTTAATGATAACCTAACACACACACACACACACACACACACACACTGACACAAAATACCATCAAGCGGCTTTTCTTCCATTCCTGCGAATGGAAAAGGTGCATCAATTAATGCACTTGTCAGGAGTCAGAGGGAAGTCCGACCAGCTGACTATACACGAGGGACACAGCTACAGCAACATCAACGTCACCTACTCTGCGGAAGTGTGTGTGTGTGTTGAGTTAGAGGATCCATGTGTTTGTTTGTGTCAGAAGACGGAGGCATTTTTCAGATTGAACTAAAAGACAAAAATTTATTTATTCAATGGGTAAGACAAGTCGATTGGTTTATCAATAATAATATACTATCATTCAGCCGTGATGTTTGAAATAAGTCGATACTCCGTCTTCAGTACACTAGGGTAGTGTTAGTTTTATTATTTTACTTATCAACTAAACAACTACTTAATCAAGAAATGCAGGAAGTAAACGATACACTGCTTGCTGGATAACTGAATGATTCTGGGCAATCAACGGCGGTACGTGATGCGATGCGACGCATGACGTGTCTAGCGTGACCACCGCCAGTCACGTGAACCAGCATTGTCAAATGAACAAGGTGGTTGTGTCGGCCGAGCCAGCCAGACCTGAACGTCAAGGGATATGTGAATAATGGAAAAGTTGTCACACTGCGGTTGCATGAAACGGTAGATTAATATGTTAAGACAAAGTTCTCCACGGGCAAAAGGTTCTGCTCCATAAAAGTAACACATCAAACAGCAGTCTGCTGCTAGTGGCATGATTTGCGAACTGAAAAGTTGATCAGAGACTCGCATAAAAGGGACTGGTAACTACAGAAAAACATTTCCAGCCAGCACTATTCTGAACTTTGACAGGCCGTCATCGGCTTCGAACGGAAGGGGAACGTAAATGACTCAAAAAGGCAAACGGAAGTACGGCCCCGACGTGGACCAAACATGATTGCATGGATTTTGTAGATCAATAATCTCCTAAATGACGCATCTGTCAGCGTGTAGGATTTATTGATGAATCGTAGAAAATAAGACAATGGTGTCCAAAATCCTTGGATTTGTTAGAAATTGTCCCTGTAAAATTAAACCACTATTTCGTTGATTGAACCTATACGTAGGAAATGAATAGATAAGCTATGAATGATCAAAGTTTGCTAATTGCTCGTAGAATCTACTATCCGAATTCGCTTTGGCCACAAATGCGTTCGGGACATAAAGCAAAATGATGTAAAATGGAAAACCAGCATTGGGTCAATTTACACCCGATCGGATGATGTGCGATGGGAAACTATTCTCCGTACGCATTTCAATAAGTAGAGTATCACGGCGGCCGATGTTTACCGACACACATGTGACTGCATTGTAATCCGTGAAAAATTTGATAAAACACGATACGCCGAGGATATGAAGACTCGGTTACCAAGCATATTTGAGTTCAGCTGTTAAAACAGTTCACAGATCACAATGCAGTGGTGAAAAATCTCGTTTTCGGTGGTTGCGAATCATGCAAAGAATCATTAAATATATTTACATATATCTGCCAGTAGCCAAGGAAAATTGGATTGGGAAGGGAACGATTATTTTAGGTCAGTCTAATTCTTGAGACCGTAAATACGATTCACAATGATCATACACTTCAAGAACAATTACCAATTTGGATTAATTTGTGACTAATACAAGGCCTAGGCTGATGCTGTGTGCAAAAGTTTTGGGTGACAACAAGGTATAAGGTCAAGATCATTGGTTAGGGAAAAGCCGGGTAAAAAAATTGGGAACTGGACACAATATGAAAGGTTAAGAATGAATAAAACAGATGTAAAAGTGTGCGAAGAAAAGAGTAAAAAAGGAGTGGAGGAGGGAGAGAATAGAAAGTGTCACTTAGAAGTATAGGCAATGGTTTTTATGGCCATGATCACACCATTGCACAAATCCGGCTCCATGATTCTAGTTGCTATAGATTCCGCAGTTGTTAGGATCTTCTTACGTAATCCTTTGGTAATCCTTCGATGTGGATAGAAAGAAGGAGGTGTTTGTCATCGTTTCCTTCAAGGGAGACAGGGTATTAGAAATCCCGGAATATCGGTTATCCAAGTCATTGTCAACTGTTTTCTGGAGGCGCATTCAAGACTGATGAGAGACTAAAACATTCATTGTTCAGTAACTTAAGGATAACTTGCCTCACCTGTCCCCACCATCTGTTCTATAGCGATTCACGTATACTTGCACTACTCGCTATTTCGGACACGCAACAAGGTGATTTTTCAGAGAATATCAGCACATTTTCCGGTCGATCTTCGGAAAGGAACAAGGAGAGCTTGAATAGCTCAGTCGTGTAATTTTTGGTTGACAGTGGACACAATTCACCCAGAAACATCATTTACAAGCTCTTAACAGCACATAAGAACCACATCAAAGGATTACGTAAGGAGATCTAACAACTGCGGATCATACAGTTGTTTCTTTGTTCTTAAAAAAGCGGCCAGCTTGCAACGGTGGGTTGCGCTACATTGTGTACGACGAAAATAAAAAACGGTCGGTTCATTTGCTCGGTGGATGAGTAGATAGTACGCTTGCGTTCTACCCCATGGGTTCTATCCCATGGTGGGTCGATGAATTCGCACTTCTGATGAGATCAAACCAAGACGAAACAACTGTCCACTGCTTCACTTGCTCTTTACAAGATGAGGTTCTCGATGTAATCGAATGAAATCCCCATCACTTTCGTGTAGTTATGCTATCATTGTGAATCCCATGCCCGTTCTAAAGATGAGGTTACCGCCAAATAATCCGTCCTGTGAATCTCCTCTTCGCAAAACTGAATTCTCATATTTCTCTCTATATTTATAATGATGTAAAGGTATAACTAAATCAAGTTTCTTCTGTTTGGATACATATTCCTTACCCTTAACACTCCATAAATTTTCAGGACATCTTCTGCTGATTGTATTGAGAACGTAAGAAATTTGAAAACTAACCAAAATTATGTAAAACGAATAAACGTCCGCTGTTAATTCCAGTACATCAATGAAGTTTTTAGGGAAAATCCAGAATTTCAACAAATTTTGTGGTCCATGATATGAAGGAATATATATATACATTATATATTGTATTCGATTGTATATATAAATATATATGTGTATGCTCTGATACCAAGTCATTACAAACTTCATATGATATCATAAGCCTTAATCCCCCGAAAACATCACTACTATCTGTTCGTTCCGATTTCATTACATGGGAACTCACTTGTCCTCTGACGCTACTGTGACTGATTTCACACCACTTTTGACCAAATCCTCATTCGGATCGGTGCGTTGAAGACTGGAAGATTTTTTTTTCTCTTTCATCCGCCCAGATCGCAAAGACGCGATGGTCGTTCGTCTCCAGTAGAGAGCATTACCCTTCGTATCGTCCACTGGTCCGTACGGTTTAGTAGGCAACGAGCCTGGGGGGCGCATTGGTCGAATCTACGAGGGTTGCGGAGGGTTTGGTGAAGCAGATTGACGACAAGTCACTACCACATGAATTTCGCTTGCGGTTGGCTCATCCTGAACACCTTGTTAGTCCCCTTAGATTAAATTTTTTTACCTGTGGATCGCGTTGCATAGGAGTGATAATTTTGATCCCAATCTGAAGGTTTGCGATTTATGTCCTGAACGGGAATAAATTGTAAGCACTGTCGATTACTCCCAACATAAATAAAATAGCTCTCCGAAGATTTTTGTTGGCCTCCACATAAATTACGGGATATGACAGCACATATTAGAACAGAAGACTTTAGTGAACGAGCCGTTTTCCATTATTCATTGAGTAATCATCACACCAAGTTTTATGTCGTATCATTTTGTATGAAAAAACATGGCAATTTAGGAATCCATGGTGAGTGCTGATGTTCTGTTTCCTGTCAAAGTTTCTCAAACCGTTCGTGATTACTCTTGCAATCAGATTTTCGCTTAGACAAAGTCATTCACGTGAGGTAGTGGGGTCTGTGCATTTTGAGGTTCATGGGGCTTGGAAAGTTTCACTTACTTCACAAACTGCTTTTGGACGCACAAGGCTAGTTTGAGTAAATGATTTCCACCCGTTATAGGGGTGAGTATGACGAGATTTTTAATTGGTTCAGATTGAAGACCTAAAACTAGTAGGGGGTATAAAATACGTTGTTCACACTTATTGTGTTATTTGATTGAGAGAGGTGTGGACCAGATACACGCATGATTTTTAGTTCTATCAGTTGGATGGTGTTCTCAAACTGTTTCAGATATGGGCACCTGCTCGCGTAGCTGCACTTATAGGTAGGAAGTAGAGAGCCGAAAATGACATCCGGGAACAGAATGATTTTCGTTGAGGATCCTTTTATATTAGCGCCTCTTGGGTTCATTCAAACACACCATTTACAAACTAACTGTTTACCAAAGCACTGGAACAGTTGTTATCTTGTGTTGTCTTTTTGAAACCCAGTTTTTCATGTTGAAAGTTGCTTCCGTCTACCACTTTTGCCACTGAAATCGCTGAAAGGATGATAGGAAAAAGTCAACAAAGTGCGTGATCATACTTCCATCAAGATCAAGATCAACTGTGTGATCAAAGCTTAGGCCACCTTTTTAGGTATAACCGCTGGCATACTTTCTGGTACGTAATTAGGTTGGTACACGGGAAATGTGCACGACCTGTATGTGATAATTCAGATCCTGACATCTTTAAGTACTGCAGTCAATTATCCATCCTTCAACAGGTACCAAGGTACCTTACACAGGTTCCTCGTCTCCATCCGGAATAGAACCGGTTAACCCCGGGGAAGTTTTGCGCATCTCAAATCCATTAAATCAACAGTCACCATAGGCCCTGATGTTCTCCTTCTCTTCCAAAGCAAACAATGAAAGCAATTACCAAACCATCTTATGTCGTCGGTGTTATCCTCACTGTGATTCCGATTCCCAATAGAGTTTCCATCGATGTGCTTTCTATGGGTTTTGGCCTATCACTATGACGTCTCCCCAGGTTGACCCTGAAGATCAGTAATTCTTAGCAGACAAGCTGGATAAATATATCCTAGATATGGCCTCGTCATTAGTCAGTTCTATGTAATCTGTTAGCTATGCTTTTAATTCTCTGCTTCAGATTCAGTTCCCCGACCTTTACTTCTTCCAAAATTATTATCTTTATATTGGCCGTCGTTCGTGTTTACCAAGTCAAGTCAAGTGTTTGTTTTGTACACCCCTAAAGGTGACTATTCTGCAGTCGTATAGTCAAAGTGAAACCAAAAAGCACGCGAATTTGCAATAAAATTATGGAAAGCAAGAAAAAAACAGTTAACGATATGAGTTTAGTTCAAAAGCGATGCTTTGCGGTTACCCAGAAATCGGGAAAGATAAGGCACCATGGAAGACCGGTAGGCGGTTGTGCGAGCAAATATACAGTTAAAGCGGGATCGAGTGGAAGAAGAGGACATACTTTAGAAGAATTGCGTGTAATGGATTCGAAGGGTTGTTCAGGACCTTTATGAAAGGGTATGACTTTTTGTGTTTTGAAATACCGCAACTTCTAGGTAAATGTGCTAAGGAACTGGAAAACAACTTTAAGTTCTTCTTGAGCAGCCCTGGAAGAAGACCCATATAGCCATAGGGGCAAAATGCAGACAAAAAGAAAGCGGCGGATCCAGGAGCGGGGCACACATAAGGCTTTAAGGCGTATGAGATAAAGTGATAATTGTCTGACCTTCCCGAATACAGAAATAAAATGGTCAGACTAGCATAAATTTCGGCTGATTAAACACCGAGATATCTAACATTAACGAGTCAGATGATTCTTAGGACAGAGTTCACAGCACCCGTGAAACCGCGCACGGATTCGTATCACACCACAAGCACGCTCCCGACGCTCAAGGCGAGACGATCCTGGATTGAATGAACAGGATGAGGCAGACAGCTGTCATCCGATCGACCAACCCGTCTGAAGGACAGGATCTGATTGGTGCGTCACCACGTTTTCGTACGCTCAATTTACTCTTATAATACGCTCTAACTGTTGTTTTCCAGTGGTGTTCTCTCTCCTTTTTATCGTTGAGGCTAAGAAAGAGCCACTGGTGTCCATGGCACATAACAATAATGGTAGCATGGAAAATTCCCATAAGAATATCAAAAGACAAACAATACAGAGAACAAAATGTTTTCGTAACTTTGTCTTCAGGCATTTATAGTAATTATGCGTGTTTGTATAAAAGGTAGAAATAAATGTGATTGGTCCACTGAGGTTAAATGGGAAATAAGAACAATGTCTGTCGGATTTTCACTAAAACACATTCGCAAATGATCTCAGCAACGTTTTTGATGATTCTCAATTACCATTTCGAGCGCTTGTTTTGATTAGTAAAATGATCGTGGCATTTTGTTATCAGTGGTTGGAAAAATATTCTTTGAATTCGTTTGTTGTTGTTTTCTGCTNATCTTCCTAGGTAACAGTCAATGATTTTTACGCTACCCCATTTTGATGGATAAGTAAATCTGGTTTGATTGACAGAAGTCTAAATACACATAAAAATGCTCAGAAATTTCAGTGCATGAAAGTTTGCAACGTACAGGTACATCAGGAATTCCCGTACATCAAACACTGATACTGATAACCAGTAATGAAAAGCTGATTACTTGCTTGGTTTTCTGTGTAGACTGAACCAAGCTCTAATGTAGTATTGCTTGCCTGTGTCAACTAGGCTTTTCCCGGAACAGCTCACTGCTATCTACGCTGCAGTCAGCGCATAAATACGCACGGTCTAGCACGGATCAGAGTGAGACTTTGTGCCTATGCGCTTGTGCACCAGAGCGGGGTTCAGGATAAGCAGAACTCTAAGCTAATCATCTGAAATTTTTAACTACTCGTTATCTGCAGCAAGGAAACAGACTTTGTTGTGCGAGAACTCCTCACGCACTTGCATATTTATAGAAAATTACTCACAGTAATCCAGAGTCACCTTGTTTGTACTGATCTCAGTTACGTAATTCGTAGAAGCACATCGTTTGATTTAGGTCGCAGTCAAGCAGATCCTTTTTTAACTCAGAGTGGTATATTTTGACAAACCAATCGTGTGTTCTGTTGAGAGAAATCGAGTTACATTTCATATTGACAACATGATGTACTTACCGTGCTCTTCAGTGTCTGCTATCTGTTTCTAGGTCTTTCAATAACCACATGCTCTGATTTTTTCAATGTAGCTGGTTCAGAAATATTTGCTAACAAAGTGCCCAACTCGCTGAACTCGGGTGAGTATAGATTTGTTCAATAGGGGCTTGGGGAGATCTAACTTTTTTTGTCCTATCGAAATTTCTTTTAATGGTATTGTGTTAAGCGAATGGTGTGCGACTTGTATCTAAACGCACACTGCACAATCTATGTGTATGTGAAACTGGGTTTTGTGTGTGAAGCTATTCACGAGACTGCCACGGTAGTGGAAAAATAGTGGGCATTTATCATCAGAGCTTATGTTTGGTCACCTACCCTTGTGAGAGTTGTTTGGTGCCCCGTATGTATTCTGCCTTATTCTCAATTATTCATTAAGGAACGTTTACAAATGTTAGTTTCGCTTCGAGCACATCATAACTGGCACTTTTGTGAATAAAAATTCAGTAATAATGAGAAACGGGATGATCATTCTGCAGTGAGGTAAAAATTCATCACCGGTGACTGTGAAACACGCAAAGGCGACATTAAGCAAACTCGGTAGAAATTAGATGGAACCGTGTAGAGTAAAAAAGAATTTATAGATAGATCGTATAGAATTTTACGCCCAAAATAATTAAATCTTCAGATCTAANAATAATTAAATCTTCAGATCTAATTTGTTTTCCTCTAGGGTGAGAGCGGGTTTTGACACAATTAATCAAGAAGTGACCTACGGAGAATGGAGCAGTGACCTGTTTAATTCAGTCACAGTAAATGTTTTTATACTCAGAAAAAATGAAAATTGAACCGAGTTGGTGAAAATCAGGGCCCAATTACTCGGCCTTCTAAGTTCCTCTGTTTTGTTTTAGGTTTGTACTTTTTCGCTATCTAGTGATGATGGTAAAGTTTGACAAGAACATTTATCATTACCAACAGCTTATAGATTGAATATCGCCATAGACTGAATATTGCCATAGCATAAAACATAAGAGCAACTTGCTGCGTCATTTACGTCCGCAGTGTGCTAAGGAGTACCAATTCCGACAGGAAGTTTACCTCATGAACGGAGAATAACGATATTGATAAAGGAGACTGGCAAGCCAACGGGAAATCTACTGGCATTCGCTCATTAAAGCACGAACAATGCTANTAAGTGTGTGTGTGTGTGTGTGTGTGTGTGGAAGACCAAGTGTGAAAATATTTCGGTCATTGAGCATTCGAACATGGTCTGGCTTTTGGAAAGCAAATCGAAGGGTGAGATCAGAAGGCACAATTTCACAAACAAAAGGCAAGAGACAAACTTTCAATCAACCATTTTTCATTAGAATGAATTTAAAATGCTGTACGTTGTACGTACAAAAGTTTGTTGGGTTTCATAAAGGCAGTTATGATAAACGTACATCTCTCTCACACACACAAAGGTTAGTCTGAAATAGGCAAGCTATTACGAA